TCCACACAACAACGAAAATGATAAAATTATTGTTAGACGATAACGATAACGATTTTAAAATCGCTCACCTGAGCGATTTTTTTTTCAGCCGGACGATAACGATAAATTTTTGACCAATCGGCGCGCGTATACAAGTTATCGTATCGTTATCGTTGTGTAGTGTGACCTGGGCTTTATTGCCTGATACCGTAAATTTTTTTATTTTTTTCTTTGCCTGTCGTTTGCCGTTTCACTTTGTCTTTGACGTAAAACGCGAAGTTTAACTTCGCAGTGCTATATTATCCGCATTTTACAACATTTCGCAACGAAACTTCGGAATATTACTAATTTTGTGATGCTCTTTCAAGCTGTGATGAAATTTTTGTCTAGACTTGTTGAGTTCAAAATTTGTTCACTGGTTCCAATAAGGTGAATAGGTTTTCGGATCGTCGGATTCCGCCGAAAAAAATGTTCGAATTTCGGATTTGGCGAATATTTTACACGGATTTGCGGATCTTATTAATACAGCGGACTGCGGATTTATCTAATATTTTGGCTTGGATTGTGGATTCAGCTTGCAATTTAGTTCGGATCCTGGATTGTGACTTCATAGTAGAGCTTTTAGCGGATCCAAATTTAGACAAGACCATTGTCGAACGGCGGATTTTGCTTCAAATTTGGGCGGATCGGCGGATTTGTATACCCCTATTCACCATGCTACATTTTACGTCTGTTCGCACTTAAAGCCGTTAGAGTTCGGTACCTACTACGGATTCACAAAACGAGCTAAAAAAGTAAAATAGTGAAAAAAATAAAATGCAAAAGTTAGAAAAAGTTTAAAAAGTAGAAGCCGCTAAGCAATCCCAGAGCACTCCGTTGTCATCTCGCTCCCGACGCTCCGTTTTATAGAAACCGTGCAGGTCAAATTGTTGTGGCAAAAGTGACTTTTTCCGAACAATTTTCTCCAGCGTAGTGATGTAGTGTGAACGAGACGGCTTAAATTGTGAATTTCTGAAAAAAACTCCAGCGTAGTGTGAACTGTGAAGGTGTCAACGTAGTCTAGTATTAGAATATTTTTTACTGCGTGTGGCGATTTGGTATAGCGTGCCGATATGGACAAAAATACTTCTTTGTAATATGTTACTTGTTTTGAGATATAAACATGTTTGTCTGATATAAATATATGACTTGTGGAGAAATGCAGAGTTTCTTTGCGAGATATACAACCTCTGTTCCAAAAATATACCAAGTTCTATTTCCAAAATATACTAGGACGTCTATTTCAAAAATATAGTACTTCTTTTTGAAAATTATAATACTTCTGTTTCAAAAATATATGACTTTAATGACGCCCGCGAACGTTCAGCGGACTATTTTGAGTACTACTTCATGACATTCCTCCCTTAAGGTCATGAAGTAGTTCTCAAAATAGTCCGCTGAACGTTCGCGGGCGTCATTAAAGTCATATATTTTTGAAACAGAAGTATTATCAGTGGCGTGCTGGCAGGGGGGCCGGGGGGCCACGGCCCCCCCAGCTGGCAATTCTTGGGGGGCGCAAAAATGAAAAGGGGGCGCCGTCCCGTGCGGAATTTTGAAAGTGGGTGGGAAAAAACGCATTTGAAAAAATATAGTTACTTCCGTCAAGAAGTATATATTTGTATAGGCTTATAAACAGATCGAAACTAAGCGCATAGAGGACAAAGAGATATATTAAATTACAGACTATTTGGTCTAACCGTATTGGCTAATTTGCTACTTCATAGCTCACACAAAATCGTTGATATAGAAACATGATCGGTGATCACACACAATGTCTCATTACCGGAATATTGGTCAGGTTTCGAAGCGATCACGGGAATTATGCCCTTTTTTGCTGGTATTATGCCCTTATATTATGAAGGTATTATGCTTCACGAATCACGAGAGCGGCGAAAATTAGATAGTTATGATAATGTAAGTTGTGTACGCAATTTAATTGTTTGTGCAAGAAACATCATGACTCATGAGTAATGTAAGTGATAAGATAATGCTGAAACGCGCCCTTTTGGCAGTCAAGCAAGGTAGTAACCTTAAAGTGCATATGCGTGGGGTCCGTGTGCTATTGTATAAAAGAGCTGTATGTTGTAAATGTATTCAGATCACGAGATCAGTAGAGAATAGAATTGGGATTAGATTAATCGCTGGAACTGAGTTAGCATTGCCCAATTTAAATACTACTACTAAATTCTAACCAAATTGCAAATTTCAACACGTTATAATGCCGTTTCCTGACCATCAGATTTCTGTCAAACCTTCCCCCCAAAGTCCAGGAAATGGCATTTCAGAGACCCTAAATTCAAAAATTTTCCGAGGGGGCATGCCCCCGGACCCCCCTAGAGAAACCTCGCACCTGCGGCGCTCGGCTCGTGCCTTCGACACTCGTTTATCAAGCGTTACAATATAGGGGCGCATATTAGTTGAAAACCCACTGGCCCCCTAGAAAATTAGTACCCAGCACGCCACTGAGTATTATAATTTTCAAAAAGAAGTACCATATTTTTGAAATAGACGTCCTAGTATATTAGAATATTTAGGATTTGCGAAATATTTAGATTTTAAATTCATTGATGTATAAAAACATGTGCATGTACTATAAAAATTTCAAGTTCCTTGGCCACGTGCTCTAGCAGCCCATAAGCTCGCAAAGGATCATAATTAATGTTATATGAAAAATCGTGTGTTATCCAAAACGGAAAGTGTTATATGAAAAATCGTGTGTTATCCAAAATTTATAATGTTATATGAAAAATCGTGTTATCCAAAATCAGTGTTATATGAAAAATCATGTTATCCAAAATTTGTAGTGTTATATGAAAAATCGTGTTATCCAAAATTTATAATGTTATATGAAAAATCGTGTTATCCAAAATCAGTGTTATATGAAAAATCATGTTATCCAAAATTTATAGTGTTATATGAAAATCGTGTTATCCAAAATTGAAAGTGTTATATGAAAAATCGTGTGTTATCCAAAATTTATAGCGTTATATGAAAAATTGTATGTTATCCAAAATTTATAGTGTTATATGAAAATGAAAATCTTATATCTTAAAATAGAATAACATTTTTGACACCGATGACGCGCCATAATAATATGGTCTAATATGGCCATTTCGGAGAAAAAAAATAAAATAAAATGGTAATAAAGGAAATGTGGTTTGTGTAAAGTGGAAACACGTGGACAAACATCATGGAGGACGATGTATTAAATGAGAATGTTGGAGGAACGGTGAAAAAACTGAGGTAATATTGGTAATTTAGTATAGGTTATTTTGAGGCAACGAGGGGATATGTGATTTATTCACCGAAGCGCGTAGCGCCGAGGTGAATAAACACATATCCCCGAGGTGCCTCAAAATAACGTACTAATATTTTTCACACTGCGAGGTCGCATTAATGAGTAAGAATACAAATAATTCTTAATGTCATATTGCCTTCGTTATGTTGTTTTTTCTCATTTTTTGTGATGCAAAGACATTGCAGGTGAATATTAGAGGGAATTATTAATTGCAGGTGAATATTAGAGGGGATTATTAAACAGAAATTGATTAGAGGGGAATATTGAATATATTCCCCGATAAGAACAAAGGAAACCGAGCAGGGTGAAAAATAACCTTATTTACCTTACCTTATTTTTCACCCTGCTCGGTTTCCTTTGTTCTTATCGGGGAATATATTCAATATTCCCCTCGAATCAATTTCCATTTAATATACCCTCTAATATTCACCTGCAATTAATAATCCCCTCTAATATTCACCTGCAATGTCTTTGCAGCACAAAAAATGAGAAAAAACAACATAACAAAGGCAATATGGCGTTAAGAATTATTTCTATTCTGACTCATCAACGCGACCTCGCATTGTGAAAAATAAGTACGTTATTTTGAGGTACCTCGGGGATATGTGTTTATTCACCTCGTTGTCAAACTTGTTGTCATGCTTGTTTTACAGAATATGGGAAATTGAAATATTTTTAAAAAATGGACTTTATGTCCATTACAGATCGCTTCATCGGCGATCGGATTTCAGCGAAGAAACAATGGCTAAAAAAGGAGTAGAACTACTGCATGACTTGGTTGCAACTGAAACTTTTAACAATCTCCAAAAGCTTTCCAATATGAGGAAAACGATTAACCGCTTATTCCTAAATTACAACATGCTGTAGCTTCCAATTCGTACATGGGGTGGGGTATTTGAACTCCAATTTTTCACAATATGTGGTGTATTTGAACGGGAATTACAAATATATGTAGGGAATTTGACCTGACCAAAACGTCAAAATCCAAATTCCTGGGGGTATGCCGGGGGAATGTCAAGGTTTCGATTTGATTCGCGCATAAGTTACCAGAAATAATTAAATTTTCACCCATGCCAAGCAAAGCTTTGAAGCATACAAAGAAATTTATTGCTGAGTTTATTGTAAGACATCATGAGAATCTTTCTTCATTTTTTTATATTGTATATAGTTACCTTAATTATGAAAACTGTTCATCAGTCTGTACTGAGTTATGATAAATTTTCGATAAACCTTTCTCTAGTCACAAACTATTCAAGAGGCTTCTACAAAAAGAAAAACGTAAGCTAAAGCGTCAAAAGGCAGCAGAAGCTAGGGAAGAAGCAGAAATAGATGGTAATGTTTAAAGTGATTTTTAGTGAAAATTACTGTACGTACATATTTTAGAACTGACCGGTGGTGTTCTATTGTATTTTTCCTTACAGAGGAGGCACGGCTTGAAAATGATTGGGAGTACAGGTTAGTTATACTAATACTGTAATAGACAGCTTAAGCAAGCGACATTTTGTAATATTCACAAACGCTGGCCAGAAGCCAGTCGAGGCATTGGTGACAACCGTTCTTGTTTGAAATCACGAACATGGAACTAAATTGATTGTTATTGTCAATCAAGAACTGCTAACGCCGTAGTTAATGGCTACCTTTATACACGAGAAAAATTTAAATTGCCGTTAATGTGTTTTTGAATGGTTTTTAATTAAAGATTTACCATGTTTACTATCAATGTAAAAACTGAACTCTTACCATTATTGGTTATTATAGATTTCCCATATGGTAAATTGGTAAAACCATGATGTTTAATATTTACCAAATAATGGTATTTTTAAAAACCCATCAATGGAAATTTAATTTTTTCCCTGTGAATATGTATGTGTGGCGTCTGTGTTGTCAAACATGTTGCTTGCTTAAGCTCTTTAAAGTGCGACTAACCCCAAATACAATTTTTGGTTTGTGTAATACTTGGGTCATTCTAGGAAGAAATGTAATATATCGTTATAGTAAGAATCGTCATCTTGATCAACTTTTTCACCGTCAAAGTTTCCCGATATGATGTCATTAGGTGAATTTTTGGTACAAAAGAACAAAGGAAAACTAATTTGCAATTTATCTAATGATATCATATCTGTAAATTTTGACAGTGAAAAAGTTGATTAAGATGGGATTTTTTATTATTACATTTCTTCTTTGAATGACCCAAATAGTACACATACCAAAAATGATATTTGTGACTAACCAGTCACACTTTAATAATGCTTTTTAATATGTAACCGCATGCAAGTTTGCCTCCATTGTTTTCTCAAACTTTGAATTTCCAGATGGAATTGTAATTTTGGATAGAGTTTGGAGGCAACAGATTTTTTATTCTACTGTATGAGTTAGTTCTCATGAATTTATGTTTTGTGCAGGAAGAGGGTTGAAGCTTTTGAAGCAGATAAAGAAAAACACGAAGCGTTGCAAAGGTAAAAACAGTAAAACGAATCCAAACTTTTATTTGGTGAAAAAAAGTTATTATTTGTTTGATGTTATGAACAGTAGACGTGTAGCTTGAATACTATGCACAGTGAGAGCTGTCGCACTAGAAGCAGTTTTGTTATGTTCAGTAATAGCTCAATTTTTCCAATATATTAAATAAGTGTTTACAGGTGAATGTTATACATAAACTACAAAAAGTCGCCATTGGTTGCAACTACGGCGCACAATGTTTAGAAACTTGTTTAATCCAACTTCATGAATACTGATCAGGACGGCCGAGAAATAAGATATTTTGTGATGAGAACGACACTAATCGTTTTGTAAACAGGGATAGTAACGAAAAACTGTGGCTTCAACACGAGGCTGAGGCTCAAGAGGAGTTTGCTCGTAAAAAACTTGAAGAAGAAAGAAGAATAAAACAAAAAGAAGAGCAAGAGGTGAATAATTTTGCTTTCCATAGTTATTCTGTGGTGAAATTGTAAACTGCATGCATCAGAGGTGAATTTATTGTCTTCAGAGCAATGAAGTACTTTTGCTTATCTGTTTGCTGTTAGGATATTTCACTTGAAAAGTGAACAAAACCGCTCTGTTTGTTTTTTCCATGCAGTATCTACGCAGTACGGGTAGTACAAGTAGTTTCAAAATAGTAAGCAGTATGGGTATTTTCAGAAAGCTATCAAGCTGGAATGGGAACGACAGCAAGAAAAAGAGAAGGAAGAAAAGGAGAGAAAGGAGAAAGCTACAAAAGATAAAGAGGTAAGCCTGAAGTAAAGTTCTTGATGAAATCAGTCACGACCGCGTGCACTTAATTAATAGGCAAGATTATGTATTGGCATGTATCACCTGTATGAAGCATTTTGAAGCAGGTGATTGGCTTGCAATGATAAAGTGATGTTTTCCACAAATCAAAATTATCAAATCAAAACAAATCAAAATAACTATTACCAAAAAAGTCTCAAGCAAGTCTTATGAATGGATATTTACTGCTTTTAATAAATGCTTTATTTTCGGATGCAGCATTTGCAACAGGTTATTTCTATTATTTGATCTTGAAAATTATTTCGCCCCTTTCGGTTATTTTGCTTAATTATTTCTTTCCCCGTTTTCTTTTATTGATTGTATTGCTAAATTTTATAATAAAATGCCGTTAAATTGGTAGAATAATAATTGTACTGCATGCAAGTGCATGATCTGGACAACAGTAAATGATTTTGTTGTATAAATTGTTATTTAATCTATACGTTCAATCCTTAACGGTAACAACACCACAGATAATTAAAACAGCAACGAATTTTCCTGGAATACTGGTATATTTGGATCTGATGCTGTGTTATATCCACAACAACTCTTTTTTGTGGACTCGTATCCTTGTTGAATGCTGATCTGCATGTCGCTATTTTGTATTGAATAGTATATATGAGTTTGTAAATGCGGAATAGCCCAGTAGTTCATACAGTGTATCACTTTTTATAGGTTTAATAAGTTTAATAATTTTCTTGCAGTTAACAGCAGCATCCGTTTATCTTTATTATTTTAATTTCTACTCAGTTTGTATTTGGACTTGTATGATTACACTATACATAAGGTCAAAAATATTTATTCTTTCCTGGGGAATTTTGAAGAAAGAAACGTATTCAAGTTAATTCATAGGTGTACGGGACAGGACCCCCACACACACCCCACGCCCCCCCCCCCCCGCAAAAATAACTTTGGAAAACCATTGGAAATTCGGCCAAATGCTAAGAAAAATCAAACTTTTAATCTGGACGTTTAGGAAGAGGTTTTTCTTCGGCTTCGGTCAAAATTCTTATTTACCGAACGCGAGGTCTGTACGGAGAAATATCGGACCGAGGTCTTTTTTGTAGAGAGTAGAGACCGAGCCCGTAGGGCGAGGTTTGTACAAATAAAGACCGAGGTCCGATATTTCTCTGTACATAACGAGCAAGCGAGGTTAATAAAAAGTTTATTATATGACATTTATACTTGAAACAAACAAGAAATGCATGATTTGAAATGCATATTTATTTAGTAGCGTGGTACACATTTGGTCAAAGAAAACAAAAAAATACTAATGTATTTTTTTCTTTTCCAACTAAAAACCATTCGCATACAGATATCTTATTAATTAATAACAAATTAAATTATAATTTTCAATTAGTTTTGCTGTTTTGTTTTAAAATGCATGCGTTTGTTTTACGTAATAGACATTACGGGAAAATAATGGACCGCTGAAAGTGCTTCTCAGCCAATCACAGTCCGCCATTTCACCGGAAGTGACGCTTGTCATATAATAATAACTTCTTATTAACTGAACACGAGGTCTGTACAGAGAAATATCGGACCGATGTCTTTTTTGTAGACACCGAGCCCGTAGGGCGAGGTTTTTACAAAAAGACCGAGGTCCGATATTTCTCTGTACATACGCAAATGAAGTTAATAAAAAGTTTATTATATGGCATTTATAGCAATATAGGCATTATACTTGAAACAAACAAGAAATGCATGATTTGAAATGCATATTTATTTAGTGGCGTGGTACACATTTGGTCGAAGAATACACTAAAAACCATTAGCAGATATCTTATTAATAACAAATTAAATTATAATTTTCAAGTAGTTTTAACGGGAAAATAAAGGACCACTGAAAGTGCTTCTCAGCCAATCACAGTCCACCATTTCACCGGAAGTGATGCTTGCCATATAATAACACTTGCATAATTCATGTTCAGTTAAAATAAGGTATGGGAGTAAATATTGCTAATTTTACACATCGTATTTACGATGGTGAAACCTCACCCAATCACAAAATATTTGAACGATAAGATTTCTATTTTTACGCAGTAACAATATTGTTTGTCAGCACAATGAAACCTCAATCCAATATGAAAATATGTCGACGATAAGACTTCATAGACAATCTATTTTCACGTGCATGATGGCATTTCACCAAC